CACCCCTCTGCTTTCCTAGGGCTTGATATGAGGGTCTTTGGACCTTTGTTCTCACATCGTTACTGTGGTGATGATCAGTATTAAATTATTCTAGCATTTCTCTTTGCTGCTGAGAAATTTGTGTCTCCCACTTGTCCACCAAAGTCATATGTAAATGACTAAAGCAATCCTGGATATATGATGAAGTTGTAGATCCCTGTGACCAAGTCACTAGTAGAAGGGACACAGTTCTCCAATCAGGTATCAAATGGAGGAGAGCAGGCATCCTAGCCCTCATCTCTTCCTCCTCTGAAAAAGCCTTGATCAGCCTTCCCACAATAAAGTATGCCACCTGAAGAGGTTGGGATGAGCTGCAGTTTTATAGTATGGCATTTCTGTCCTTCCTTCTCTCACCTCTAAAACGAGAAATTTCTGAAAGAACAGGTACTGGAAATGCCTATTTAAAATAAGAACATTAGGGTCTGTAAATAGTAGTGCTTGCAAAATGTGTATCCCATTGTCTGTGGTGTTTGATATATGGTTATGGAAATGACATACTGGAAACTAAAAATTATTCAGGTTAGAAAGTGTTCCCTAAGTGGCCTGTATCTTCGCAGTACCTAAGCAAGGAGGTATGTTGTATGAAATATTACATACCTCCTTTTGGTATCTATGATAGTTAAGTGACATTGCCTTTTTTTCCTCAATTTTTGTTCTGGATAATTAATATTGTCATGTTACGATGACACATCGTCTGACAAGACTCCTCAGTCTAAAGGCAAGAACCTTTCCCTCTTACAGAAAGATCCAAGGAAACTGTTTCACTGAAAAGAGGATAGAGGATAGAGGGCAGCAGATTTCTGGAAATCTAGGAGGGCCCTGGGGGACAGCTGAGGATGTCAGTGTCCTGTACACATTTCTGTGCAGGCAATATTCTCTGCTAGATGGTGCAATCCAGTGAACATAGATGTAGCATTAACAGCCTGTGGCCCTAGGTTGTTCTGTTAGCTTTATGCTTCTCTTTCATTGTTTGTTTCTGCAACCTGTTTGAAACAGGAAAGATTTTGAAAAATATTTGTTCGCATGTCGCAAGCTTATTACCAATGTTATCCAATTATTTATGTAGAAACTTTCATAACCCATTATTTTTCCTGCAGAAGCAATTGTATTTACATGGCAAGAAACTGAACTTGCCTGGCGAATGCCATTATAAATCAATTTATTTTAAATGACAGAAGCTTGCAGACATTCTAATTTTAGCTCAATAGCTTACTTGTGTTCTTGATAAATGAGTTTCTGACTGTTCAAGACAAAGAGAAAAAAAGCCATTTAAAATCTAGTTTAATTTAACTAGTTAAAAGTCATTTGGATTACACTGATAATGTCTGTATCGAACAGCCCTGGGACAATCTGAATGATTCTCCTATTCCCTGTGCCAGTGATGGGCCCCTGGCTTACACACCTGTATGGCTGTGTATTAGCATAACTGACTGAAAAGTCAGGCTCCCTGTTTTGTGAAAACATTGTGACTGCTTCTTTGTGTCACGTCACACTTTTGTTTCTGTTGCTCAGATTATTTTTGGATTTTGTATGTGCTGTTTTGTGTCACTGTAAGGAAATTACAACAGTTGCTTCTCACAAAAACCCACCTCAGACTCCACTATACATGCCTTTCTCCTTTAAGAAATTGAACCTAAACATGTGTTTAAGTGACAGACTTGAGTTTTGTGTCTACACTGATATACAGTATGTAGTTTGAACCTAGAAATACTCAGTAGAATGGAATCAGATAAATTAACTTGCTGCAGAGGCACAGCTTGCTTATAAGTCAAGAGATTTGGCTGCTGTCAGTTTTTCTTTTGTTTGGCTGGTCTGGCTTTCTACTTGAGCAAAAGCTATATTTTCTGGGGTGAACAAGTAGGAAAGAAAATACACAGAACCCATAGGGATCTGGGGGCATCATCTCTCCTTTTCTCCTGTTCTCAGTCCAGCCCCTCCAAACCTCCTTTTAAAGCTTCCCCATTAGTCCTTCCTTCCACTTCTTGATGGAGGTACCCTACTGCATGTCCTACTCTTTCTTCTCCTCCAAAAGCAGGTAAACTTCATATTTTTAACTCACGTCTGCTTGTGGAGATGCAGAGTGCTAAGGACGAGAAGACCCTGCTTGCTCTACCAGCTGTTCCCATCTGGCCTTGCTCATTACTGATATAATACAGGACAAGTGCTAAGAACTGATCATTGATACTTTGAGGCTGTAGGCCAGGAACATTGATTAAGCACTGGAAAATAAACAAACCAGCTTCCAGAAATTGGGGCAATGATTTGGAAGTAAAATAATGTCCTGGCTCTGTCCTGTTACTGAAATAAAAAAAGTCATGAGAGGAAAATATGTTTTATTTTTCAGTAACACAGGCAACAACTGCCTGCATTTGATAATGTTTTTAATTTAGCATCCAAGATAGCATGCAAGTCCAGGAAGATTTGTTACCTAGTTTGAAACAATGAGTGTGCTTGTTCATCTGTTATGGTTTATGCAGAAAGTGTGAGCTGAGCACAAAGATCCCCTATTGTCTTCTCTTAAGGCATGTGATAACTTCATAAAAATTTATTTTGGAAGAAATGACCTAGGAAGTAGTTTCATTCAAAACAAGAACAAATGTAAAGCATCATGAGATTAGTTTTATCAAGACCACAGAAAGGATTCAGATATCTGACACAGAATGAAAATGGGTAGCTGAGTAAATCCAAATTGATTCAGTTTTGGTAAGTGGAGTTCAAATACTCAAAGACGTCCCTTTATGACAGGAAAGGACATTCAAGACAAAAGAAGAGCGAATAAATTTGACCTGTGAAAAAAAGCATGTTCTACCCCATTGTTTAAAACTATGTCATGAATATAACAACAAAATAAGCTGAGGGGACAGTGAACAAATTCAGTACATTTGCTATAGCTAATACTGGAAACTCCACATTCCCCAGCACAAGCTCCCCCACCCCACTCCTGTGCAATTATAAAGTCTGCTCATGGCAGCATGTCACTCAACACCACAAAAACCAAGAGGAGAATGAGTAACGCTAAAGCTACAGATGACAAAGCTGAACAAGTTTACAAGTGTCATTGAAACAGATCAATACTTTGATTGTACAAAGGCCACTTGTTCAGTGGCCTGTGAGAGACCAACAGTTATTGTTGCGATGCTTTTGAAATGGAGGGATTTCTGCAGGATCCAATGGGTAATTACATACCTTGTATGGAACAAATTATTGCAATTCAAGAATAAAGAACTTGATCCTGCTCCCAATGATGTCAATAGGAAAACATCACTTACAACATGATTCCACAGTGTGGAAATGTTGTTTCACAAACGAGGACTGACCTCACCCTTTCATGTGTGGTTTTCTGAAGATTCTTGGGTTTAGGACTATAATATGTCTTGAGTTTATTACAAATGTTCACCAGAATGCATTTATTAAAAGGCTGGTGAATGACGTCCACCCAACGTCAGTATTTATTGTATTCTTTATTCCGAGAGATGCTACCATTTTTTAACAGACTGCGCCTGTTTCTTGAAAATGAACTTACAAAGTAGGAAACAATTTTTGTCCTGTTCAACCTGAAGGCTAAGAGAGCCTCTCTACAGAGAAAAAAAAAAAAAGCCAGTTTTAGGCCACTATACACTGAGCAGTTTTGCGTGCTGTGCAGGGGCACTCCGCAAGTCCACACTTGTAACAGTTTACAAGACAGATAATCACTGTTACCAGGATTGGTAGCACTGAATTGAAAATAGTTTTGAAAATCGCTCCATTCTGGGCAGCATAACTCATATATGCTTCCAAGGTTAAAGTGTAGTTACATCACAGGCTGTTTTATAAACAGATAGGTAAATAATTACTATATAGCAAAGCAATCTAGCAAAATCAAGTAGAATGACCATGCTGAAGGTGTTACCAAGCCTGCTAAAAGAGGCCAGGTTAAATAACGCATGAACGACTTTAAACAACCTTTTTGTATCTGCATGAAATCATCAGTCCGCATTTAACCTCAAGCATGTAACTGAGGTGTTCACAGCTGTCCCAGAACATTCAACTGTTAGAAGTGACACTCATCGGTCTGCAGTCCCTAGCTCACACCTCATCATCACAGAGGAATTGTTTTCAAAAGCTCCTCCCAAATTATGGTCATAACCCCAATGGTCAGACAGATTGTCTGCAGTAGTTGGGCAACGAAAACTGCCAGCAGTGTTTTCACGAAGTAAACGTTGTTGTGTCTTCTGTAATTTGAGTCAACCCTGGAAGAAGGACAGCTGGGAATCTTATAGTTTCTTCATATTTTATTTTGTTATCTCATGAATGACTTGTATTTTCTGTGGTAGAATTAATGAGTAGTCAGATAAAACATCCTGGACACTGTTCTTAATCTTCACAAACCCAAATGAACACTGTGAATAATGCTTAGCGCTTCCAGTCTCCTTCTGTATGGTATCATGGCCTTGTGTCATTTCTGAATAATCCTATTTTATGCAGTATTTTCATCTCATCTCTGTAGTTCTTTTTTTTTTTGCCACGGCCATTTCTCTTGGCCATTACTCTGCATTACTTTTTCAAACTTCTTTTTCCATGAATAAAACCTCCTGGTTGTAAGGATAAGATAGCTGAGGACAATTGAGCTGTTCATATTGTTTTTAGAGGGGGAGAAAACTGCAGCAGCCTCAGTGAGTCTTGTTTTCTCATACACTGAAAAATACACACTCTCCTAATAAAATGGAAACTACATATAGAGATAATATCATTTGCCTATAAAAGTGAGAAGACACTTTCTATTGAATGAAACATACCTATAAACCCCACTGGTTTTGAAATTTCAGTCACTGGCAGTATCGCTATCTGCCAAAACAAAATCAATTCATAATTTCTGTTCTGTAGATGTCAAAATTATTAACTCATTTGGAAAAATCTGAATTTCAGACTCTTAACAGTGCCAGCTTTTATTAGATAACTGAAACATCCTTCATGTATTGCAGGTTGTCTTTGTCAGCTGGTGTAAAAGCTTCTGGGACTGTGGACTAGTGGCGCTGGATGATGTATCATTGAGCCTGGGAAGCTGCCAGGCTGCTGGTAAGACTGTACCTATTTCTTGTCCAACACCTGCTACCCTTTTTAGTAAGAGTTCATCGCATACCTTCATTTTCCACACCTATCCTACAGCTGTCTTCATTCCTCTGTGGCTTGTTTTCTTTTCTTTTGCCAATAAGGATTCCACAAATCCTATTTTTGCAGTAGCATACATACAACGAGGACCAGTTTTTGTTCACTGGGGTACCGGCTAACTCCTGATTAACTTCACTGACTTGGGTGCAGTTGTACATAGGTGAGCGTCACTTCTGGGGCCTTACAATTTGAAAAAAACAAAAACAAAAACCAGTCCAGCTGAGGGGAATGTAGTTTTCAAATGGCGTTTAGGAAACCAGGAATGGACCCAAAAGCAATATTTTCAAAACACAGCATTACTCTTTTTAGTCCAGCAGTACAATTGTGCAAGGCCAACACACAGTCCCTTATCTGAGCTGCAGTTCTCTGGTGAACACAGATGGGATGAGTCTAACTCTCCTTCCTGCAGAGGGAGGAACTGAATGTTTCTGAGCGACACTTCACCCTCTGACATGCACGGGCTAACCTCTCTGAACTCACCCAAACTCCCTCTTCTGGGGCTTTTTGAGGTTTGACAATGCAACAATTGTATCCTAGTTTGGAAACCATTCTCATGAGACAGGCACAATCTATAATCCCATTTTTTTTCAGAATAAAGCTGTGCCTTTGAAATGGTGGTAGGCACATCTACCATGCCATTTGTATTACCACATAATAAGAACTTTTTATTGAGCTCTTTTGATTGATTTCATGCATTCAGACAGCTAATCATTACAGAACAGAGAGAAGTTGCATGTACAAAACAAGATGCCATTTTTCTAAAACATTTCCAACAGTTGTCTGTTTTGCCTTTCTGTAGTTCCTAAGTAATTTGAAAAGGAATCAAAGGTGCAGAACTGATACTTGGGTGTATAGTCATATGGGGACTTGTCACTGATGGCAGCAAAAAAATGCCTGAAAAATGCCCCAGAGCATGTGAGCCATCAAGGCTTCCTCCTTTCCAAAAGATGAAAGCAGCTCAGAGTGTCTGCTCCTGAACTACAGATTCAGATTGTAGCAGAAGACCTGACAGAAGCTTCCTGGTGAGCACCTGAATTGTCAACTTTCTCTCTTCTGCATTATCTAATAGAATTGAAATAATGAAAATACTCTAGTAGTTGCAGCTCCGTGGTCTGTTGTATGCGCTAGTAGGATCTGGTGCCAAGGGAACATCAGAGCGCTAAATGTGGCATTTCATTTCAGATCACAGAAGCTCCAATACTTGACAAGGCTCATTTAATATGCACGTTATACATGTCGGAGCTCATTAAACTGCTTGGGGTGCCACAGGAGTGAAGAAAATTACACTGGTAGAGGCCATGGCGGAGTAAGAGCTACGATAAGATAATAAACCGTCCGAGATGTTTTAAACAGTATTTGTATGTGTTAGTGAGCCAGAGTAGGGCACAGATTTCCCCAAAACGGTGAAGAAAATGATATTAAATTTTGTACATCAGTTTGAAGCTAGCTTTTAGAAGCTTGTGACTACTGTAAGTATTGCTAGGCAGATATAAGTGATTTCAGCACGTGAGGGAACACAATACGTTGCTTGTGCAATCATATATCTGTCTAGTATATTTGCAGTTTTAAACAATGTCCTCTCCTCTTAGATCTATTGCTGCCCAATCCTGGAGAGTGTACTTTTGAAAAAGATGAGTGTATGTTTACTCAGAAGAAGAGAGGTCGTGGGATTTGGCACAGGAGGAGGGGTCCAACTCCCACTTCTTACACTGGACCAAAAGGAGACCACACTACTGGGGTAGGTGAGTTAAGCGCCATGTTGAACTTTCTGAGCAGAGATTGATAGTTAATCAAAAATACTTTGAAAGGAAAATGTAGAACACAGAGAAAGTTTTTACTGTTCTCTTCATAACAGTTATTAATCCAATGAAGTAAACATGTTTCTTAGGGACCCACAGATGGTTTTGAGAATGCAGTGTTAAATCTGAATTATCTGTAGACCAAGTGGTTTAATTCATGTCTCAAAATAGCCCTTTCCTTTGGGAGAAAAAATGACCCGATGACTCTCCAAACCCCACAGAAAAGCCTTCTTCCAAACACCTAGTTTACATGAATATTCCCTGAAACTAAAAGGCAAACAAGTGGCTGGGGGCTCTTCTGCATCAACACCTGCCTGTTCAAACTTTGAAGAAATAATAAGAAAAGAGATCCCACAGACCCTCTGTCTTGAAAAGCTGCTCTGTAACCTCACTTGTGCAATTTAAAGTGTTTTGGCAACAGGGGCCCCCATGAGCATGAGTGAGCGCACAGAAAACTGCGCCAGAATTGCCCCCACGCTGGGGGCAGGATCTAGTGTCTTTTGGAAATTATTCCATCACTGTGTTTGGTGCTCGTGTTCCTGCAGAAGGAGGACCTCAGTAAACAACTCTACCGACTCAAGTGTAGTGGATGAAACTGACCTAAGGCTGTGAACTTTAAATGCTTACACGGGGTTTACAAAGGCTTTTGGGGACTTTGGATCTGCCCTCCTTCACAGTGGTTGGCATTTCTTCAACAAGCCACAAAGTCAGTTGCAGAGAAGCTGGCTTATTCACAGGAACCATCTATCCAATCTGTTAAAAACTTTAGCTGGATTACAAAAGCAGCAGGCCTGCTAAAAAAGCTCACCGAAAGCTATTATTATTCTGTGAACTGTGATTGAGCATAAACCACGGTAAGCATCATCAAGCATAGTTATTTCAGCTGTGCATATGAAGTCTCACTTTATGCAAGCTTAATTCAAGTTACTCTAGAAAACTGGTTTTTTCTAGTTAAGAAAATAACAAGACATTGTGTCTGATCTCTTTATCTAAAAAGATTACTTTGTGCACATTCAGCAAAATATCCTTTTCCTATCTCCTGGTAAAATTCCTGTAATAGCTGCATTCTGAGCAAGGTATGGAAATTCACTAGAGAGATGTAAATTCATGGTGTGTGGGACTGTGTGGCCAAAATCCTGCACGTGGAATTCAGAATGCAGATGGGAAAGTTTTTCTTTGGCTTGAAATTTCAGACCACCAAGAAATTATGTTCTTCGGTTGTTAATTCTGAACAGTACTGATCCTGGGTAGAAATATGAATAGGCTTCAGAGATAAGTACATTTTAAAGCTTAAAACCTCTGTGTTATGAGATAAAAATGAGAAACATTACTTACAAATCTGACCATAGTCTGGCCAGATCTATTGGCTAAGTTATGTAAGTGGAAAAGGTAGGCTTACCTACAAATCAAGAACATTTTCCTATAATGATACCTTTGTACTGTTCACTGAGTTTCAGAAGGGAATGTTGACATTCTTGTCACTTTTCCATTTAAAAATTAGATGGCATTAGAGTGAATTAGATGGCATGCTGTCTGTCAGTCTTTGTTACCCTTTCTGTCCAGTTCTTCTGCATCAACTAGACATGTGACCACCAGCTTTAAAATAAGTGAGAATTTTTCCTAGTGGTTTTTGAAGTTCATTTGAGAATTTTTATTTTGAAATGTGAGTGACACTCTTGAAGAGGCATGTGTAAGCCATCTCTGTATTGTCTGGCAGACCCTTCTTTTTCTACAAAATATAATCCGAAAGGACTACATCATATTAAAGTTGCTGGTTGTTTTGGTAGGTAACCAAACTCAGTTCCCTAAAAGGATTCAACATTCAGGTTTGTTTGATGCTTTTTTTTTTCCTTGTTGTTCCCTAGATAATATATTTTATTCTTCCTCCTTCAAAGACTCTACATCCCAGCTCTTGTGTTGCCAATGACAATAACCCTTTCCTTATAACAAGAGAAACATTTAAGGGTTTCTTGCTCAAGAAAAGGAATGGCTTGTTAGCACAATTTTCTTAATTTCTAAGGCAGAAACTGACTTGAGACCTATTTTCAATTTATGTAGATCACTAAATATTCTGAGATTTGAGGCCGATAGCTCAAATTTAGAACTGGTGAAGCAAGACAATCTTTTAAGCCTGGCCTGTGACAAGATTTATTCCTTATTTCACACATGTCTTTGCAGAAAGATGTGCTGAGAAATACGTGGATTTGAACTCACAAAACCAAGAGCTGATCTAGTCTTTCCAACAAGTTTAGAGTTTGATTCAGGCCTTAGAACTAAAGGAAAGTTATTTTATTATACTGTAGTATGAGGTGTAGGTTTTGTTTTTTAACTCAAGGAACTTTTAAGCACAGCGAACATCAAAATCCTCACAATGGCTTGCCCTAGGTTTCGTATAAAGAGCCTTGGGAATTCTCCTGCACACTATACGAAATTATCTTCTCTTTATGGACCTACAGCTGCAGATAGTCTTTCTTTTCACCCTTTCTCTCTACTGCTGCTCACCACCAAACTACAACCATGGTTATAGGGGTTGTCTTCACCATGGGTTTGTGTAGATAATATGACTCCGAGGATCATGAGAGAGACCTCGAGCGTCCACTGAGAGTCCACCGGCTGCTATTGCCACTCTCAGCTTTTCTCCTGCCTCATTGATCCTTAGGAATCCCCTCTGCCCCTGAGGGCAATCTCGCTGCCAGGACTGCTGCTGGCAGAAGGGCAGCTTGTTTTCTCCAACACCACAGCAAGGGAGCAGTGGAACTGCATGAAGAGCTGGTGCAAAACCTGAGTTCACTGCCTGCTGGCGGAGTCATCATCCTAAAATGAGCTGAAGACACAGCCCAGCTGCCACAGGCAGCAGATGGGACATGGGGATGCTCCTCAGTCTTCTGACACACCTCAGTTTGCTCCAATTGGAAATAAACAAATATTGGGGGGGTGGGGGGGTGAAATTAATTTGCCTGCCTCCAATATATCACTAATTTTTCCACAGATCTGAGTTCATTACAATCTTTCATTCATTCATGGATTCTAGAACATCTGGTTTTCCTCACTTGTGTGTTCACATGTTGATCACAGAAAGAAAAATATTATTGATGTCATATGTGCTTTAAGAGAGGTATTTCAATTCATTTGCTTTGTTAGTAACATCAGCTCCACCCATTGCCTAACCTGTACCCTCAGATGTACATGCAGCTGTCTGAATTCCAATTAATCGACCACTATCACAGTGCATTCCTGGGTTAAGAACAGCTATGATCTTTTTTTACTTTTTATTCCTTTCTGTTGCTGTGTATTTCATCAGATATAAACAATTTTTAAAGTGTTCTTATATTAGTATTCACAAATAAGTTTAAGTGTTTTTAAGTGTTCTTATATTAGCGTTCACAAATACATAAAATTCATTATTACACTACACAATTATTACAATTACAAATATAACAAGTCTATGGCATAGAAATCTTTTTATAAAAATAATTTCAATCATCATTTTTTATATAATGAGCATGTTGAGTGTAATGAACATGCTGATATAATGTATTCTACTTTGCTAATATTTGCTTGTACGTCTTTTTAAGGATACTACATGTATATAGAGGCATCCAACATGGTCTATGGACAGAGAGCATACCTAGTTTCAAGATCTCTAAGAGGAACCTCTGGAAAACAGTGCTTGACATTTTTCTATCACATGTATGGAGCTGGGACTGGATTATTAAGTGTTTATCTAAAAAAGGAAGGTGATGATGAAGAGATTCCTTTGTGGAGGAGGACAGGGGAGCAAAGCATCTCATGGTTAAGGGGACTGATAGAATATGAAAGTGATAGAAACTACCAGGTAAGAAAAAACAAACAAAAAGCAGTCAAAATGGAATATTGAACTGAACTAGGAGCTCGAATCCAAGTTTGGGGTTGTACTGAAAAAAAAAAAACAAACCTAAAATGTTAAAATGTAGATGGCATTAAATGAACACCTGAACAAGCTGAAGTAACATGTAATTTCTTGCAAATGAAGGTAGGGTGGGAATTATTAAAGACATTAATAGGTTGCAAGTATGAAAACAGTTCATTAATTCCTTAATTAAAACTATTTTTTAAAAGTATTTAAATGGTGTTTTCCTATAATTTCTTGTCAGTGGTAGTTTTTATGTAGATCACTTGTGCAATTTCTTTTCCTTCAGCTGTCTAAAGCTCTGTCTAGATTTGACATAACCACTAAGTTGTGATAAAATGGCTGCTTCTTGCGGGGCCGTCTTTCTGAGTTGGCACCAAAGGCAAGGGATGATGCAAAGCCAGGGCTCTGCCTTTGGTCTCAACAGTGCCATCATTTCAGTATTGCCAGAGACAAAGCCTGCTTCAGTTTCTCTGTCAAAGAGCACGCTAAAATTGCTATTGACTGAAACAGCACCAGGCACAAAACTGCACTGATCGCTAACCAAAGATGCTGTGTGAGGTTTTTTAATAATTTTTTCTTCAAAGCCCGGAAATTATTTAGGAAAAAAAACAAACCAAAACAAAACCTTTTACTGAAAAGCAAGTTTACCTTCATCAGTAAGACTAGAATATAACACTGTAATGGATTTTTTTTCTCCTCAAATCTTGCTTGTATATGGGCAACACACAGCAACACATTTGGGCTGAGAAGAAAGACAGAAATGCCGCATCCCTTTAGAAAATTTATCTGTGGTCTATAACACACAGCAATTTGTTAACAAATTGTGAGAACAAATTTGCTTCCTTTGGCATAGCGCACACACCCAAATTCTCAGACCAGGGTAATCAGTCCACTGATGGAGCACAGAAGTTTCTTTTCCAAGAAGCGGGCTTCAGGACACACTAGATCATTGAATAGACTGCATGGGTATTATTTTTATTAGTCCTTCCTCCTACTGGATTCAGGAAAACCTGTGTCTTCTTACCTACGCAGATAATTTTTGAGGCAATCCGCGGTGTGTCAATTAGGAGTGACACTGCTATTGATGACATCGTGTTCCAGGCAGGACCGTGTTTAGGTAAGTTAAAACATACCTTGTTTCTCTTAAGAGACAGCTAGCAATTCACAGTGCTTTTTGTAGTTAGACAGGTGACACTTTTCCCCCTGTATCCGCACTGAATGGATCTGAATTTAGTATCATGCTGCTGGGTTAGTGCAGAATTTTTGTTTTCTGATACGATGCAAGACCATCCTCAGAATCTGGACTAGTAAAGATGCTGTAACACTTTTCAAAAACCATATGGCAGCCCCATTTAAACCCAGTGTGGTAATTACATTCTGTCTCATGCATTCTTACGTATGATAAAGATACAAATAATTACAGCATTTCCCCCTTCTTTCTATTCTAGAAGTGGAAGAAATTCAATTCTCATCAGGCTATCCTGACAGCTTAAACGAAATTGAGTATTAAATATAGTCTGCTGAAAGGAATGAAGTACGTAGAAGATTTGTATGTGAGAAACTGCACAAACTGCCTGTTTGGAAATACGTTTTAAGTAAATACTGGACTGGTTTGAATATGCACCCATGTATAGGAAGAACTCAGAGCACTCATGTTCCTCGCCTTTGCAATGAAATTATTGACTCAGGGCTTCTTAGACTGTTTTTTTGAAATATTTTTTCTCTTTTGCATGAGGTATCAGTTATTATATAAAGGCTTCCCATTTTGCACAGGTCATGCATTTTAATGCCTTTTTTTCTTTTTTTTTTTTTTTAACCTTTCTGGTATATAGGTAAAAAGAGGAAAGTAAAGGTGCACAATTAAAATCCAATATTGTGTTATCTTAAATCTGCATTCAGTGAATGTTTTGTGTTGGGTACAGAATGGATTTTTGTTAAGGAAATTATAAATATTTTGAAATAATGAAGAAAATAGTATTAGCTACTGGTAATAGCCTACAGGTTATGTGCAATTATTCATGATGACAAATCTCTCTGGGAAACTCTTAACACTCTGCTGGCAATTTTTTGTGGTTTTGTATTCTTTTACTATAACAAATATATTTCTTGTCCTTGCCAATAACAAACTCACTTTTAGTATTCCAGTATAATTCAGTGTAAGCTGCTGACATTTTAAACTGTATGAAATGTAAACCTTTGAAGCCGTATGTTTTCTGGCATACAAGTCTTGGGGATTTTTTTTTAATAATTCAGTTTGTACACTCACAGAGAAAGTACTTATATCTTATCCAACCATGGATGCCTTGCATTTATATTAATAGGAAACCTGAATTCACACAACTTGTTAAAAATTTTAAGTTTTTATGTGTTTGTGTGTAAGCTTTTGTTCTGAAATTATTATAACTTCCTAATAAAATCTAACTTTGAAAATCATCTTATTGCTCTGCTCCATACTTATAGTTACCGTTGTAACGAGAAACCAGTGAACCTAATATAATAGCCTGAACTCAGTATTTTGAATACAAAGAGAATGAAATGTGTGGGTCACATCATCTAAGACAGATGACAAAAAGCAATCTCATCTGCTGCAGGAAGTTCCTGTATTGAGCCATAGAAATTATTCTTGCAGCCACCACATTCAAGCTGTTGCTGCAAGGTGTGAGCCCTGAGAAGTGGGAATAGCCTGTGGTCCTTTCAGAACAAAAAGTATACATTTTTCCTTAATGGCCTATAAGGATCAACAGCACCTGGGACAATCTAGCCCCTTGCATGTTTAGTAAGTTCTCATTTTGGGGACACAAAAAATTGAAGAGATTGTTCAATTAAATACATTCAGTACTAACGTGTTTATCTGACCACGTAGATTGAAGCAGTTTATTAGTTCCTAGAGATGGAGGAAGAGCCAAAAGGAATTGACTTCTTAACTGCCTATCCTAGCTGCCTACAGTCCCCACTGGCAGCTGGTTATGAACACATCACTCTTGCTATTATTCTGAAAATGAAAGCAACCAGAAACAAAGGACTGTTTCCTAAGAGTTAATACAGTTTTACAGTTGTTCTGTACAGCTTATGCTTTGGTATCAACACTCAGATCAAATTATCTAAGCAGAAAACAGCTGAAAATGTAGTGGTTAAAATCATCAGGCTTGGTGGTTCTCCACAACTCTGATGGACTTGTCTGTAAATGAAATAAAGCACAAAGTATAACTATTTGATTCCTATCTCTAACAGTTTATGCAACTGTGCTTTACTCCATCAAAGTAATTAGAGTTAGGCTGATATGAATAAGAACCTAAGCAAAGTACTCTATTCTGGTCTCCACTGAGCATTCTCTAGGGACCTCACTGGTACGATGATGTTGATTTTTGTCCCCCTACCTTTCCTGAGAGTAGTATTTATCCATGGGGTGCGAAGCACTGTCCTGACTGCAAAGAAAAAGCCTATGTTCTTGCTTCAGTAGGGACCAGCAGCACCTTTCCACCCATTTCTATCGGAGGAATTAAAGAACAGAGGGAGAATTTGAACGGTGGTTTTAAATTACTTCAGAGCCAACTGAGCATCAGTTTATAGCATAATAAATTCACAGACTAGTGAAAGAATGGCTGCAAAACACCTGAAAACTAGGGAAGGTGCATTAAGATTTCTCCCCCGGCAAACTTCAGTCTTTTGGTGAGATAAAAAAACCATTTCATCAGCTCTGTCCAAATAGCAAACTCCCCGTGCAACTAATCTCTGCCACGGATCTATTTTTATTTACTATTTGTTCCTTTCTTACTGCTTCAGTAGCTGTACAAGGATCGCAGAAGGGCAAAGAACAGTTCTGAGACTTGCTATACTAGGCCTGTTTACTGTCTGAAAACATCTTCAAAAGCTACTGAAGAACCTACAAGTAATTGTTTTGATGCCAAATGTGCCACAGTCCATAAAATGGAAATGAAAAAGAAACCTTCAAAAGCAGTTATAACACCCCAAACACTAACAGGTTTGTATTTGATTGCTCTAAATGTAGCTTTGTGCTAGAGTGGAACTGAACTCGTCCTGAGATCAGAGCAAAAGCCCTTTTACTGCCCTCTTGTTTAATACTCTATTTATTCTTTAAATATCTTCCAGTAGTTGACATTTTGTCATTATCCTTACTAAATTCCAAGTAGAGTGCCAAATTCAGATCTCAGTTACACCAGTGGAAAACCAGAATAACAACACAAAATATCATTGTTATTCTAGCTTTATGCTAACTGTATTCTGGCTGACTCTTGTGTCACGCCAAAATAAACCTAACAAACGTAACAAAAATCCAACTTTACAGTCATGAAACTTCACTAAGATAGCTCAAGCTGAGCGCTAAAAGACCCTGCATTTTATCAACCTGGATCTGAACACAAGCTCCCAAGTGTGACTGCCCACACTAAGGGACCCTCTGCTCCGAAAGCACAACTGTGTAAGGTAAGAGGCTGTGAGGTAAGAGCGCGCTTTTCCTGCAACATGACACACGAAGTCAAAAGGTGCTACCCCTCATGGGTTGAAAAAAGCATAGTCTCGTCCTACCTCAAACAAAACACCAGGTGTCAGATGTCAAACTGCCTTAATTTTAACATTTCCTTTGGAAAAATACTTCAATTTGTGAATTCAAGTTTCTCAGTTGCTTAAGTGTGAATGAATAAACTTTCAACACTCCTTTACATTACTTCGATCTATATTCATCATCTTGCTGTTTTCTTCCCATCCTTCCTCTGTTGTTTTCCTGTCTACCTCCTGCGCCTTATTTTCTTCCCACCTGCCTACAGTTTTTCTGAACATCTGCGTTTTGGTCTCTTTCCTAGCCAACTGCGTATTCTGCTATGTTCTTTGCTCACTGCTAAGTACTGCCGCTCATACGTTCTACTTCAGCTTTTACATCCTCCCTCTCCTATTCTGGAACTCCTCTTGGTGCAAGCAATACCTACTTCACGGCCTGCGCAGTCTCCTTCATCCGGCTCTTAGCGGCGTCCATACTCGCCAGACCCTAGAAAATGCTCCCTGACAAAATTTGGAAAAAAACAGATCTCTTCGGCAGTCTCCAGTGGGCTTATGATGAAATGGTTCCTTAATCTACCGCTTCCTTGTCTTTTGGCTTTTTGGCAGTCACTGTTACTTAATGAGTCCAACTCTACTATTTTGGTCTACAAGCAGGAGACATAACCCATTTGGGAGATATTTTTTATGGATTAAGCAAAACACTACCTGCTAACAAATCAACTAATATTTTAGATAAGTAATAGACACACAAGTGTTACTAATTTATAGTGATACAATTTTGCACTCTATTAACAGCCGTTACAAAGCTATTATCACAAAGCTTATGAACGACATACTTCCAATTTTATTATCCTTTCTCATCCATACCACATAGTACTAGGGTGCATTTCTGTGCTGCTTCGTTCTTCTGCAAGTCGTCTGGACAGGGACCTGGTGGAGCGTCCAGTGGGTTATCCAGAGTGGCTGTCTGGTGTTCTGGTGGGCTTGGACACGCGGGTCAACCTCATTACTATCTGTGGGCATCAGTACTCGCACTGTCAGAGCAGAAGCCCTCTTCATTCTTTAACGGATCTTGATCTTTCTCCCCCCATTTTTTCCCCCTGTATCTGGAACAAACTTTTCGCTGCCCTGCTACCTCCCTTTATCTACCTAAGCTCCCCTCACAGAAGCAACCTGCCTTAAATCCCTTTTGCCTCATAGGTCCCAATTCTGCCACACCCACGCCCAAAGACGCTGTTCTGGCGTCTTTACCGCGGCAGCCTCCGTGAAGAACACCGTTCTCCTCGCCAGCTTCCCAGGACAAACCACCCCAGCTACGTGCCAGCTCCCTCCCCTCGCTCCGCTCCGGCGCAGGCGGTTTCGCACCCGGGTCACTCAGCAGCCATAACCGCTGCCCTGCAGGCCTCCCTCCCCCGCCC